GTTGATGCTGCTGCTGATTATGATGATGATGATGCTGATGATGATGATGATGGTGGATGATGATGGTGGATGATGATGATCATGATTGTGATGATGATGATGATGCGATTGATGATGTTGGTGCTGCTACTGATGATGCTGCTGATGATGACGACGCTGATGTTGTGATGGTGATGATGAAGATGATGATGATGATGATGATGATGATGATGATGATGATGATGATGCTGATGATGATGATGATGATGATGATGATGATGGCGCTGATGAGGTTTCTGGATGATGCTGATGATGGTGATTATGATGGTGACGATGCTTATGCTGCTGATGATGCTGATGATGATTCTGATTACGATGAGGATGATGCTGATGATGCTGCTGATGATGATGATGATGATGATGATGATGATGATGATGATGATCATACTGATGCGGATGTGGCTGTTGCTGATTCTGATGCTGATGGTTCTGATGTTGCTGTCGACTTCACGCGCCTAAAGAGATATTGCTTTCTCCTCCATGCGGTGCCATTTTGTACAATCGAAGTGCCCCTTCCAGGGGTCGCACCCTGTATCTTGCAAGGGAGAGTCATTTGGCTCAGACGGGTACCCTGGCCACCAGTTTACAACAACAACGGCTCCCGCCTGATACCTCCTCACGGTTTATGCACAATCGCGCTCTCGCGCAGGACTTCCGCAATGTATGCAGTTATCGCGCTCTCACGTGGGACTTCTTCGCAATTTATTCAGGCGCCACGCCCTCGACACTCAGGAAAAACGCTCTCGCTGTGGAATTCCGTGTTACTTGGGAATCGCGTTATTTGTCGTTCGAGATTTGTTCGCGATTCATGCAGGACTGACGATTCGGCGACCCGCCCGCTCGACCCAGCTGTCTGGGCCCGCCCGCTCGACGCGCCCGTTAGGGTCTGCCTGACAGCCCGTCTGGTTCTGCCGCTTGTTTTCCTGCTCCTAACCCCCCTCTTGCCCGTCTCTCTCGTGCTCAATCCTTCTCCCCTTTCCCTCTCCATCTTCCCTCCTTTTTCCAATTGTTTGGACTGCGCCAGCTACACGTGGCAGGTAAGGAAGATATGCCCCCAAGCGGGGTAGGATCGAAGACGAAGAGGGTGGGTATCGAGGGTTCGGGCTGTGCTTGCTGAGTGAAATGTGACCACATACGAGCGAACAGTTGATGAACTCTCATTCCCGAATGATAGTTATTGTCGATCCCGCCCTGCGGTGCATCTGGTGTTTTTATGAGTCAAGTGCTCTTCCCAGGGCTCGCACCTTGTAGTTTACAAGGGGAAGTCTTCCTCATCAGAGTTTTGTTCTTTTCCCCCCGAACTACATCAACACTGGCTCCCGTCTGATATTTCCTCGCAGTTTATTCAAACATCGCGCTATCGCGCGGGATGTCCTCACAATTTCTGCGATCATCCCGCTCTCCGGTTGGACTTCATTGTAATTTATTCAGAGGCCGCGCCCACGACGCTCAGAAATCGCGCTCTCGCTCTTGCGCTTCTGACGATTTATTCTTTACGCTTCGCGTATCCCCACCAGCCCATCTCACAGCAGCAACTCTCGCGAAGCATGCCGACAGTCGTGTTTTTCAGGCGTGTGTCCGCTTGGCCCCGCATATCTCCCCTGTTCCTCCTTCCTCCCGCCTCCTTGTACATCCTCCTTGTGGGGGGAGCGGGAGAAGGACGAGGCGGAGGAGGAGGGAGAGAAAGCGCTCCTCGTGATTTGAGTCGTTTGGGGTTTCTCGTCCTGGTGTGAGTCGTTCGGGCCCTTCTTCCTGGTGTGAGTCGTTCGGGCTCTTCGTGGTGTGAGTCGTTCGGGCTCTTCGTCCTGGTGTGAGTCGTTCGGGCTTCTCGTGGTGTGAGTTGTTCGGGCCCCTCATCCTGGTGTGAGTCGTTCGGGCCCCTCCTCCTGGTGTGACTCGTTCGGGCTCCTCGTGGTGTGAGTCGTTCGGGGCCCGCGTCGTGGTGTGAGTCCTTCGGGCTCCTCGTGGTGTGAGTCGTTCGGGCGCCTCGTCCTGGTGTGAGTCGTTCGGGCCCCTCCTTGTGGTGTGAGTCGTTCGGGCTCTTCGTGGTGTGAGTCGTTCGGGCCCCTCGTCCTGGTGTGAGTCGTTCGGGCTCCTCGTGGGGCCTCTTGGGGGCCTCTTGGAGCCTCGTGGGGCCTCTTGGGGGCCTCTTGGGGGCCTCTTGGGGGCCTCTTGGGGGCCTCTTGGGGCCTCGTGGGGCCTCTTGGGGGCCTCTTGGGGGCCTCTTGGGGGCCTCTTGGGGCCTCGTGGGGCCTCTTGGGGGCCTCTTGGGGGCCTCTTGGGGGCCTCTTGGGGCCGCTTGGGGGCCTCTGGGGGGCCTCTTGGAGGCCTCTTGGGAGCCTCCTGGGGGCCTCTTGGGGCCATCTTGGGGCCTCTTGCGACCTCCTCATAAGCGCACATGAGAGCTGCCCCCTGCGAAGGACAAAATGAGCCCAAAACCTTCGTAATGGTTTGTGCTTGCACGTGAAGGAAGTCTCGAGTTGTTGTCTGTTTGTCGCCCATTGGCTTCACAGAGCATGAATCGCCTCTTGATGATGATGCAACCCTGCCGTGGTATATCATGTTTTTGGCGAGCTTCCTCTTGCCTCTGTTGCCATCTGGCTCTATTTTCCTACTTTGAGCTTCTCTGGTCCAGAGTCGATGGACGCGGTCGCCATCCCTGGCGGGGCGGCCGCGTTGCCGGCCTGGGCGGTGCTGGCGCTGGAGGCCGCGGCTTTCTTTGGGCCAGGCTGGGGCCCAGGGCAGGCGGCCTGCCCAGACCTCTCGTGCCCTGCCTGCCCAGCGTGCCCAGAGGCGGCGGCGTGCGCGGCCTGCCCGGAGGCCGCGGCCTGCCCGGCTTGCGAGCCGCCTCCCTGCGCGGCTTGCCCGGCCTGCGAGCCGCCGCCGTGCGCGGCCTGCCCGGCCTGCGAGGCGAGGGCGTGCCCGGGGGCGTCGGCTGGCGAGAAGGCGGCTGAGAAGCTCGCTGGAGCGCTGCTTGGAGGCCTGGTGCACTGGCTGGTGGCGAAGGTGGTCACTCGCAGGCATGGCGTCGCTCGTGGGGTGGCTCCGCGGCGACGCGGGGCGGGAGTGGTGGACTAGAGCGCTCCCAGGGGAGCACGTGGTCTGCCGTTTCGCCGACGACGACGTCGACCACGAGCGGGTGCTGCTGCACTACGTGGCGGAAGGCGAGTGGGTCGTCCTGACCCCAGATGGTGACATCTACGCTGAGGACATGAGCTGTGGGGACCCCGAGACTGGGCCTGCCCGAGCCGTCCCGCTGGCACTGCGGACGCGCAAGATGCGGAGGCTGTATCGCTTCCGTGAGGAGCTGGGGCCCGACGAGCTGGCCGACGCGTTGACGCGGGGCCGTCAGGCGGCGCTGGAGATGGGCGCTGCCTTGCCTGAGCCGAGGGAGGCCGTGGCCGTGGGCGGCCAGCGGGTCACCTGGCAGGAGGCTGCTTGTAAGCTGTCGGCCGCGGAGCGGGCCGGCCTGCTGCGCCTGGGCATGGCCGTGGCTCGCCTGGGCGGGAAGCTGCTGGAGGCTCCTGGTGCGGGTCAGGCCTGGATCGCCCTCAGCGGCGGGCCCGGCGTTGCGATCGGAACGGAGGTCGACGTGGCGAATATCGAGGGCCTGAGCTTCGAGGACGGGCCCGAGCCGTTCGGTGTGCTGAGGGCCGCCGACGGCGGCATAGTGCGTCTCGCCCGGCTGGGCGCAGGGTCGGCCCCTGGGCGCGTGGCCGAGGAGGCCGCAGTCTGGCATGGCCTGGACAGAGGCCAAGCGCGTGCCCTGGGCCCCGAGCGCCGACGTGCTGCAGCCGCGGCGCCGCTCGAGGATGAGGAGCCCGCCGAGCCCATGGGCGGCGCGGCTACGCCCGAGCTGGCGCTGCCGCCCTTGGCGGAGCCGCTGGGCGAGGAGCGTGACGCCGACGCCCGCGCGCTCTGGGTCGACTACGACGAGCAGGGCGAGCGGTTCAAGCGATGGCGGAACGTGGTAGGCGAGTCGAGGCAGGAGCGCTACCCAGACGCGAAGGTGGACGGACCGCCTGGGGCTCTCCACATGTGCAAGCACATGGAAAGGCACGGTGGCGACCCGCGCCTCTGGCTCGACCTCTTCATTCGCATGAAGGGCCTCGGGCAGAATGACCGCGTGGTGCACGAGCTGAGGACTATCGTGGAGGCCTTGTACCAGGGCGGGGTATATGACCAGTTGAACATGGGCGGCCTGATGATGGTGGGGGTGTTGACACGCCGCGTGGCCGCAGCGGTGGATGCCTACGCGGACCCGTCCAAGCCGAGCTGGACGAACGCACGCTTCTTCGAGGGCGCGAGCTCGGTGGAGGACGTCTCAGGGCCAGAGCTCAGGGGCTACGTCCACCGGCGGGCGAAGGGGCAGCACGAGATGGAGCAGGCGCAGAATCGGGCGCGTACGCTACGCGGGGCGCCTTCAGAGACAGTCGACGGAGCAGAAGGAGCTGGAGGTGACGCAGCAGGTGCGGGGCGCGGTGGCGGCCGAGGCGGCCGCGGGCGCGGCCGGGCCAGGGGCGTCGCCTCCACGGGGCCATGACGGCCCCCGGGCCCGGGGGCTTCAGCCCCTCCCCCGGGCCCTTTTTGCCGGGGCGCGACGGTGGCCGCTTGCCGCCCTCGCGAGGAGCCCGCAGCTTTCTGCCGCTCCCGCTGCTGGGCGACGCAGGCCGCCGAATTCGCGGCAGGTCTAGCAGGGCGAGGCAGTTCGGTCGTGAGTCTCGGGTTGCGTTGGAGGTCAACGGGGTCGTCGACGCCATCAACTGGACGTCGGGGTAGGACTCGCAACCTGGCCCAGCCAATGGCATGCAGCGGGATGTACTTGCGCGCTTCGAGGGCCTCGTTCGGGGCCGGCAGCCGGACGCCGGGTTGCAGGAGCCGCAGGCGGCCCTCCGGGAGCTGCTGCGGGGCCGCTCGCCATATGACGGGCGCGGCGGCCCGACGACGGTCGCCTCCTACAGTGCAGGGCTCGTCAGCATGCCGACGGACGTGAGCGACTGCCCGCGTCTTGAGGACCTCTTGCCTGGCGAGGCCCTTACCTTCCTGCGGGAGCGCCAAGAGCGCATGCTACGAGAGTCACCTTTGCCGACCGACGTCGAGCCGTACTTCGACTCGGTCCTCAAGTTCAACCACAAGGAGTACCGCGGCCTGGTGCGTCGGCTGCTGTCAGCTGGCATTCTGGGGTGGACTCTGACACCGAAAGAGAGAATTGGGATGTTCTTTGTGCGGAAGGATGGGCGGCGCCGACTTCGCCTCATAGTCGACGCCCGCCGTGCGAACGCCCACTTCAGGGATCCTCCTGGGGTGGAGCTATTGAGCAGCGAGGGCCTCGCCAGAATCGAGGTGCACATGCCAGACGCGGGCTTCTCGAGTTACGAGGACCTCCGCGCCGCGCTGGAGGCGCAGCAGGTGTGCATCGGCATGGCGGACGTGAAGGACTGCTTTCATCGAATGCGGATCGATTCAGCCCTCTCGCAATGCTTCTGCCTGCCGCCTGTCAAGGCTGGGGCTTTCGGCGTGACCGAGGTCGAGGGGGCCAAGGTGCAGACGTCGACGGCCATCTACCCTTGCTGGCAGGTCCTGCCCATGGGCTTCATCTGGTCTCTCTACTTCGCCCAGCGGGCCAACGAGGAGGTAAGCCGCCGCAGCAGCGCGCTCCTCAGGGGGCCCAGTCTGTCAGACCATGGGCCACCGCTCGTGTTCGCGCCTGGCAGGGCGCCCCAGGAGGTCAGGCACTGCGTGCGCGTCGACAACTTGGGGGTCTTCTCGCTATTCTCTGAGCTCGTGAGCGGCGTGATGAACCAGCTGACGGGCGAGTTCACCGAGCTGAACCTACTGTTGCACAAGGACGAGCTGGTGCCGGGCATGGCAGTGGCGCTTGGCACGGAGATCGACGGCAGCCAGTTGCGCACTCGAGTGACCAGTGATCGGTTCTGGCGCTGCCGCCAGGCCGTGCGGGGCCTCCTAGCCCGCCGCCGTGTCAAGGGCTGGGCCGTGGAGGCAGTGCTGGGCCACCTAACCTTTTGTGGCCTCTGCTCGCGCGGCACCTTGTCAGCTTTCAATTCAGTGCACGGCTTTGTGCGAGCCCACTATGACGAGGCGGCCGTGCTATGGGCCGAGGCGCGGCGAGAGCTGGCCGCCTTCAGCTCCCTGATGTACTTCCTGGAGTCCGATTGGTGGCTGCCTTGGAATCCGATGGCGCAGCAGTCAGATGCCAGTCTTCACGGCTACGGACTGGCAAGGGCTTTCTGGCCGCAGGAGCTGGTGGAGTCAGTCGGGCGCGTGCCTGAGCGGGCCCGCTTTCGCCGGCGCTGCGCGCGCAGTGCTCGAGAGGTTGCGCTCTGTGCAGCTGGCTTCGGTATGAGTGAGAGTGGAAAATGGGAACTCAAGGGCCTTCCCGAAGATGAGGAGGAGCTGGGCCAGTGGGACGTTGTGAGGGACTTCCCGGAGGTGCCCGCCCAGGGGCTCCGCGCAGGCCTGTGGGGGCCCTGTTTCGCGAGAGCCCGGCAGCACCCTGAGGGCATCCTGACCTTGGAGGCCCGAGCCCTGGTCAGCAGCATCCATCGTATCGCCACCACGGTCTTTGGGTCCCATATACGTCAGTTACTGCTCTGTGACAATATGTCGGTCGTGCTAAGCTTCAATCGGGGAAGGAGCTCGTGTTTCAACTTGTTGGTTCAGATTCGTCGATTTCACGCTGTCTGTCTAAGCCGAAACATTCGTTGTTCGATTCGTTGGATACCCAGTGAGCTCAACTGTGCCGACCTTCCCTCACGGCTATTTGATCCTGACGGCGCAAAGTCCACCCTTCTGGCTGAGCTGTTGGAGCTCGAGAGCTCCCAGGCGCGCCCAGGGCGGGTTCCCGCCTGGGCCGCGCCCGAGCGGGCGGCCGATGGCGCCGCGGCCCGCGATGCTGCCTGCGCGCCCTCAAGCGCCAGACGGGCGGGGCCGCTCTCGGAGCCCCCAGCAGGCCAGGCGAGGCGCGAGGCTCGAGACGGGCCGCCGGCGCACGCGGCAGCTGGCGCCGTCTCGCCCGGAGCCTGGCCTGCAGCCGTCAGCCCGCGGCCAGGAGGCGAGGCGCACGCGGCAGCTTGTCCCTGCGCCGCCGATAGCGCCGCAGCCGCTGCCGGCAGCTCGGCGGGAGCGTCAGCTGGGCGAGTCGGGGCTCCTGAAGACGGCTGTGCTGAGCCGTCCCCTGCCGCGGAGCCTGGGGCGAGTGGTGGAGGACCTGACAAAGGTGCCTGTGCCAGCGGAGCCCGCGCGGGGAGCGCGAGAGAGCGTCGGCTCCTCCGACAGCGGGAGCTCCGAGCCCGAGGTCGTGACCGGCGCCGCGCGGCAGCGCAGGCTCGCGCAGTCGCGGAAGCGCCGAGCCCGCCACTACGGGATGCCCACCGGCGAGGAGGGCTTCTCTCTCCTGGAGCGGGGGGCCGTGCGAACCCCGACGCAGCGCGAGTACCAGAGGGCCTGGGACGGATGGCGGGACTTTGCCCGTCGGAGCTGGCCCTCGGTGGACATCGACGAGGTCATGAAGAGCAGGGGCGACTCCGTGGTAGACTCGGCGTTGGTGAGCTACCTGAACGGCTTGTACCAGGCTGGGACTCACCTCTCCTGGGCCGAGAAGTTGATGGCTGGCGTCCTGCACTCCAACCCCGACTTCTCGCGCTACGGTGCCCGGCGCCTCCCCCGGGGCTGGAGATGCCTCCGGGCCTGGCGGCGCCTGGAGCCGCCGCGGACGAGGAAGCCGTGGGCGCTGGCGCTGTGGTGCGCAATGGCGTGGCGCATGAAGGCCCGTGGCAGCCTCCAGATGGCGGTGTTCACTCTGATAGCGGTGAGCGTGTACGCCCGCCCCAGCAGCCTTTTGCTTCTGAAGCCGGCCTGCCTGGTGCCGCCGACGGCGGGGGTGTGCGAGTTCTGGACCTTGAGGCTCTTCCCGGAGGAGGAGGACCTGCGGGGCAAGACGGGCCTGGGGGACGTGTCGCTAGAGTTAGACTCGCCCTGGATTCGCTTCTTGGACCCCGTGCTGCGTCAGATGAAGAAGGAGGGGCACCCCGAGTGCCTGTGGAACTTCACGTACCCAGAGTACTGCAAGATGTTCAGCCTATGCCTCCAGGACCTGCAGGTAAAGGCCAAGGTGGTGCCGTATCAGATGCGCCACTCAGGGGCCTCGATAGACATGGCAAGGAGGTGGAGGCGGCTGGCCGACGTGCAGAAGCGCGGACAGTGGAAAACCAACCGCAGCGTCGTCCGCTACGAGAAGCATGCACGCCTGGCAGCCACGTGGGCGACCCTGAGCAGCGCGCAGCAAAACGTGTTCCTGGTCTGCGAGGCTCAGCTCGCGGACATCATTTTGGGTCGCGCCTCGCCGGTCGACTTGCGGGAGCTCGACCACGCCTGACTGGCCAATACCTGGCCGACTGCTTCAGTGGCAAGGGAGGCGTTGGGCGCGCCGCAATGGCAATGGGCGTGCCAGCCAGGTTCTGGGACACGCTGCACGGGCCAGGCGGCGACCTTACCCGACGAAAGGTCTTGCGAGGCTTGTGCTCCGACATCGCTGCAGGCCGCGTCTCGGCCGTGATGCTGGCACCGCCTTGTGGGCCCTGGACCACCGCTGCCGACCGAGTGGGGGCCATCCGTTCGGCGTCGCAGCCCTGGGGGCTCCCGCAGCATCTTCTGAGTGCAAAGCAGCTTGCTCGCCTGGCGTCTGGCAATAAGACCATGCGTGCCGCGCTGTCTGTCATCAAATGTTGCGAGAAGTTCAGAGTTCCCTGTATACTCGAGCATCCTGTGAATTCACGCGTTTTTGTCACGAGAGAGGTTCAGGGGTTTATAGATCGGGGGGCCGTAGTAAGATGTCTCGACCAGTGCCAGGAAGGTGCTCGTTGGCGCAAGCGAGCGAGATTCTTGTGTCTGAACATAGATGTCCATGATAGCAGCTGTCTCGATCGTCGGTGTAATCAGATCAACGGAATCTGTAGCAAGTCTGGCCGTCAACACATCGTGCTTGAGGGCAACGCCCCGAATGGTGCGAAATGGACCGCTATCGCTGCTGCCTATCCGCCCGCCCTCTATAGGAAGCTGGCCAGAATACTTTTGAGCGAGTGGCGCGCGTCCCTGTATAATCGCCCTAGCCCGCCCTCCCAGTAAACGTCTTTGGGTACGGCTTGGGTTGAAGTTGGCCTCACAGCTGAGCGCCAGGACGCGTGGCTGTTCGTTCATCAGGGTCTCCGCTTTGAAAACAGCTTGTGACGTCCTGGTTTGTGCTTGCACGTGAAGGAAGTCTCGAGTTGTTGTCTGTTTGTCGCCCATTGGCTTCACAGAGCATGAGTCGCCTCTTGATGATGATGCAACCTGCCGTGGTAGATCATGTTTTTGGCGAGCTTCCTCTTGCCTCTGTTGCCATCTGGCTTTATTTTCCTACTTTGAGCTTCTCTGGTCCCCCGCCCCCCCGAACCCTCTCGGACATGCACAATCCCGATCCACGCACATGCAGTGCCGTCTCGTTTTTCTCTCTAAGGTTGAAGTTGGCCTCACAGCTGAGCGCCAGGACGCGTGGCTGTTCGTTCATCAGGGTCTCCGCTTTGAAAACAGCTTGTGACGTCCTATCAATGATTTTGCTATGAGGGAAGATGAGCGCGGCCCCCTCAGAAGGCCAAAATGGGGCCAAAACCTTCGTACAATCAATGATTTCTGCTTCAAAGACGAGCAGAGGGGCCAAACTCCCCCCCCCCCCCCTCTCGGGGCCAGAATCCTCGTGAGGGTCGTCGTTTTTTGGCCCTCCCAGGAATCGAAATGGACCCCCCTGAGAACGCTCGGCCCGCCCTCTCCAGGTCCAGGGGAGGGGGTAGGGGGAGGGGTAAACCCCTCCCCGAAGGGGAAGAAAGGGGGTTGAGAACAGAGAGAGCTCCCTAAACCACTCACGCCCAAAGGGCTGGTGGGACTAAGGAATCGCGCCATCGCTCATAACTTTTCGCGATCCATGAAGGACTCACGCTTCAGCAACCCGCCCGCTTGACCCGGCTGCGCCTGGGCTCGCCTTCCCGACCCGCCCGTTAGGGTCTACCCGCCCGATCAGCCCGTCAAGTTCTGCCGCGTGCTTTCTGCCTCTAGCTCCCTTCCTACTAGTCTCTCTCGTGCTCAATCCTTCTCCCTCCACAATCCATGCGTCCTCTTTTCCCTTGTCTTATGAGATGCACTTATATCACGTGGCATGTAAGGAAGACGTTCCCCCAACTGGGTACGATCGAAAACGAAGAGGGTGGGTTTTCGATTATCGAGGGTTTGGGATATACGTGTTGCATGGCACGCGAGCCGGTGAGAGCAAGCAGTATCAACATGATTGGTAGTGTTGTTGTCTATGCAGTTGCTGCTGCTTTTCTTGTTGCTGCTGCTCATGATGATGACGATGGTGATGACGATGGCGATGACGACGATGCCGTCGATGAGGATGACAAAGATTCTGATGCTTATGCGGATGATGATGCTGATTTTGATGATGATGCAGACGATGGTAGTGGTGGTGACGATGCGGAGGAGGAGGAGGAGGTCGAAGACGATGATGCTGATGCTGATGATCATGACGATGCTGCTGCTGCTGCTGATGATGATGATTCTGATGCTACTGCTGCTGCTGATGACGATGATGTATCTGACGCTGAATATGGTGATGATGCTGACGATGTTGTAAATGATGATGATGATGATGATGATGATGATGATGATGATGATGATGATGATGATGATGATGAGGGTGGTGTTGATGATGATGCTGGTGATGATCTGGATTCTGATGATGGTGGCGGAGGTGCTGCTGATGATGGTGCTGCTGATGGTAACGGTGACGCTGACGATTTCGATGACGATGGTGGTGAAGATGGCGATGCTGATGATGCTGATGATGATGCTGATGTTGAGGATGGCGATGATGATGATATGCTCAGGATGATGCTGATGATGATGATGCTGATGATGATGATGATGATTATGATGCTACTGCTGCTGCTGATGACGATGATGATGTATCTGACGCTGAATATGGTGATGATGCTGACGATGTTCATGTTGATGATGATGATGATAATGATGATGATGATGATGATGATGATGATGATGATGATGATGATGATGATGATATGATGATGATGATGATGGTGATGACGATGACGATGACGATGATGATGATGATGATGATGATGATGATGATGATGATGATGATGATGATGCTGATGATGCTGGTGATGATCTGGATTCTGATGATGGTGGCGAAGGTGCTGCTGATGATGGTGCTGCTGATGGTAACGGTGACGCTGACGATATCGATGATGATGGTGGTGACGATGGCGATGCTGATGATGCTGATGATGATGCTGATGCTGATGATGGCGATGCTGATGATATGCTCAGGATGATGCTGATGATGATGACGATGAGGATCAAACTGCCGACGATGGTGGCGATGGGGATAATGATGGTGATGATGCTGGTGATGATGATGCTGCTGCTGCTGATGATGATGATGATGATGATGGTGCTGCTGATGATGATGATGATGATGCTGTTGATGCTGATGCTGACGACGACGATGAGGAGGAAGAAGAGGAGCAGTGTCTATCCAACTTGTAGCACCGATGCTGCAATCCCCCCCCCCTCCCAAGCTCCCTTCTCATAAGTCCCTTCTCGCGTGCCTTATCGACTACAAGAAGCGCCCTCTTTAAAGACGAGCACCGCACGGGCCTGTCTATCAAGGCGAGTGTCCCCTTTGGAGAAAAAGGAGCTGCCGTGCATCCTTCAAGAGAGTTAGAAGGATTGTGCCAGAGGTAGGATCAGACAGTTCTACGGTGTGTTCAGCGAAAGTCTTGTTTTGGAGAGGTACCGCCCCACACTCAGGTAATTGATGCGCATTTTTACACTTCTGGTCATTCAGTTTAAGGACGGCTCATGCGATACCACATTTCTTGACAAGGAAACGCCCTCCAAAGCGAGAACCCTATTGCGAAGGCCTTACAGCCGGTGCCGCCGACCCTGAAGGACCTCCCCCCCAGCGCGGTGAAGGGATCGAAGGGAAGGGGCTTTCCTTCGATTCCACTCCTATGTTGTTCAATTTTGCTTTGGACGGCGCGTATTAGGAAGAGGGCCCAGGCAAATCGAACAGAGGAGGACGGAGACGACGACTCCAACGGAAAAGCCCTCCGTAGCCATTTTGGCTCAAACCACTTCCGCGCATCAAGGCCCAGCATTTTGTTGCAAACTTCAAATCGCCTGGCCAGCAGGTTGCCGCGCCATCACGATAGGGTGCTGCATGGCGCTCTACCAGCGCAAGGAGGTGGCCCAGTACACGGACGCGGAGGACTTGTTCGACGCGCTCGCGTGCACTGTCGAGGGCCAACATTCCGTTCGCCTGGTCCGCATGTCGTGGCTGCTGCAGCAGCGTGGCTCGGTCCTGAGGAGACGCCAGGAGCTGCCCGAGGAGGAGGTCTTCGTGTCAGCGAAGAGCTCCGCGCCGACTGGGAGGCGGGCGGACGAGGAGGATGCGGCAAGGTTGCGCCGATGATCGCCATGTCATTCTGCTGGGATGCGCGCGAGCACCCCGACCCCGAGGGGTTGCAGATGAATTTGGTGATAGCCACTTTGGAGCAAGAGCGCGGCACATACTCCCAAACCGATGGCGAATTCGCGGGGTTCAGCGAGATGGGCGTCTGCTGGGACTGTCCCTCGCTGCTGCACGGCGACCCCGACAAGGCCCAGTAGGCGAAGGCCGCCGCCCTGCGGGAGGGCAAGAGCGAAGCGCATGCCCAGGAGGCCGCGGACGATGCCAAGCGCACGCCCGCCGAGAAAGCTGCGTTCAAGCACGTCTTGCACGAGACGATCGACCTCTGGTACGCCCACCAGGCCAGAACTGTCTTCCTGCTGACGCAGCATCTCCGGGAGTGGGGTAGCACGCGCGAGTGCGGCTACGACCAGTCGGGGTGGACGACGTACGAGCGGTGATCCGCTGAGCAGATCAAGCGGGTGTACCGTTTCGAAACGCATTGGTCCGCGGTGGCCGACCTGGGGCAGGGAGCGGGAGCGCCAGCGGCTGGCAGGTGCTGGCCAGTGGGCCCTGCGAGGCTCGAATTCGAAGGGATGCCGCCCCCGACCCCCGAGCAGGTCGCGGGGCTTGGCGGCTGCCTGCGGCTGTGCGCCCGCCTGGAGAAGCTGGACCTGCGCAGATGCAATGTCGGCCCCGCGGGCTGGGAGTCCCTGGCACGGACGCTGCCCTCCGCGCCCCGCCTGGAGGAGCTGTACCTGCAGGACAAGGGCATCGGCGGCGACGGGGCGGAGGCCCTGGCACAGGCGTTGCCCTCCACGCTCGGCCTGGAGTATCTGGACCTCTCGGGCAATGGCATCGGCGGCGACGGG